ATATATATATATATATATATATATATATATATATAAATTAAAGTTACCTGATTTGGGTGACGTCATCACTACAACATCGTCTTCAAAGATCTCGAAATTTTGAAGCTCCTCTATGTGTTTCACTGTGGTGAAAATAGGATGCCGTACACCATCGATCACGTGCGTCTCCATTTCAACTGCATTAGAATTCATGTTTTGTCTGTATTTTCGTGTTATACATCAACATGTAAACACATATTTCAATCAAATATTATTTAAAAAAAAGCCATTCGTTGAACCTCCATTTTGACATCATTCATTTACATGGATTATATATATACTGGCCTAGTACTTCCACCTCATCTTTATTACTGTCTTTATTATTATTATTATTATTATTATTATTATTATTATTATTATTATTATTATTATTATTATTATTATTATTATTATTAAAGGCCCGTTTGCCTCTATTTATGCTTAGTGTTTTATATTTGACTTATATTATCAGCTAGGAGTTTCCTCCCTCTATTGTCTTACATAAGAGATTGATTTTATTTCACTTGCACAGTCTCCTAAAGAGGTCCACTGTGTGAACGAAATCCTGCACTAATAAAATATTCGTTTGTCTGTCTGTCATTTTACGAATTATATTTTTACAAAAAATAAATAAATAAATAACTTAAGTGCGAAAAAAAATGTATAATTAAAAAACAAAAAAAGTTTTATATCCTAACCTGTAGGCCTACCTGCTGAGTATATTGAGGAACAGTTCTAGTCGTAAATCGGAAGTCACTTCTGTTTATAACTCAATACGGCGATGTACTAATGGTTTGTACTGCTACCCACATCCACTAACATAATCTTTTCGTTTGTGTAAGAATGAATATTAATCTTTATTTGTTTTTACAGTTGTAGACTACCCGCATTTTATTGAAAGCCTTGCCATACGAGTAACAATCTTGTTATTAATTCAACAGGCCCTCTATCATCAATAAAATATAACTTTATATATTGTTTTCCTTTTAGCCAGATTGAGTATCATAATTATTATGACACCTATATTAAAATTTCTTAATGCAGTGTCACAATAAAATACATGGAACATCGTCAAATTTAGTAGTTAATTTGTCAAAACGACGTAATAACTACCATTCACTAATCAATAATAGTATAAACATAAACTCAAAAACTTTTCTTCTATTGGTCCATCTTTACAATTCAATGTCCCGATTCAAATATTAATCCAGTGTAATATCTACAACTTCGGCTCTTCATTCTATACATCAACCATGTTGCTGTAGAAGAAGTAAACCTTTAATAAGTAATAGATCCAACAAGGTGCTGGGCATGCTTATTATTAGGCCTGCCACTCGATTCTTAAAATCAAACCAAATCAAATCAAATATACTTTTATTTTCCATACAATAAAGTAATACAGTATACAATAATAAGGCAGAAAATTGAAACAAATATTGAATGGAAGGAGGCTACCAATAAGCTCTGCAAGAAGACCCCGCAGCGTTTTAAGACGTAGCTACCCATTACAAAGGAAGGTTGGAAAAATGACCGGCACCATTTACTTATCTTACCGGAGCCACTACCAACTCCCAACACTTTTAGTTCCCTTCCTTGGACAATTAACTGTGCAATAATTCGTTTTTGAAAGAGTGCATCTGTACGATGTGACACTGATAACATTTTCCGTCTAGCAACCTCATTATGCTAACACGTACTAGTCTGCATCGTCTGAAATGCTACGAAGATTAACTGACATTATTGGGCTAAAATAGGTACCGTACTGCTCTCAACACGACCAGATCCAAACGACATCGATCAATATATATCATAGATTTTACAGCGCTAGATAAGTATAAATACAGTGACCGCTATATAAAAAAATATGTGTATTAGGAGGTCAAATAATTTGTATAATGGAAAATCAATATGCTTCTTTTTCGGTAGACTTAATTATTACCCAATGTCCCTTGAAGCTTTTTTTTTTTTATAAACCGCTACCGGTTGTGTTTAATAATTTGGACCAATGTTAAACAGAAGTGGTATTTTCATATTAGATCATGGATAAATAGTTTCATGCTTTTACCCAAAATTGCACGATTATTTTTTGAAAAAAAAAAACCAAAAAAAAAACCAACCTACTTGTGCAGGTCTGCTACTGTATACCTACTGCTGGCCTAGAATGCTGCAGGGGATTTTAGTTGGTAACCATATTAAATAGAGTTATTTACTGAGGATTTTAGATTATCTTTGTCAGCGGCGGAACAGGCGGGGGAGCAGGGTGGGGAGGCAGATTGCCCCCTGACGGGTTTTACCGGGCTGAACTAGCCGTCATACCGGGCTGGGTAAAAAGAGAGAAGAAAGAGAGGAGAGGGAGGGAAAGAGAAAGTAGAGGAAGAGAAAAGTAAGGGAAAAGGAAAAGAAAAAGAAGAGAGAAAAATAAAGACAAGATTAATAAGGAAGATATCATAAGTGACCAGACTCACAACACCCTGCAACCTCTTCTCCACTTAACTCCTTTGATCTAAGCTGCCAGATGGCGTAGGCTAACCACCGGGGAACAAGGGGAAAACATCTATCTTTGGAAAATCTTTCCCACCCCTTTATAAATGCCCTTTTCATCCCCTGAAAGTGCCTAAAAATCTCAAATTTCGCATTCCTTGTCAGAGTAGGCCAATTTCCTCTAAAAATTGCACATTTAAGGGATTTTGAATCAATTCTGACGAAATTATAATTAAAAACACCAGGGGACAAGGGGAAAATATCCATCTTTGGAAAATCTTTCCCCACCCCTTTATAAATGCCTTTTTCATCATATGTAAGTGCCTAAATTCCTCAAATTTCGCATTTCTTGTCAGAGTAGGCCAATTTCCTCTAAAAATAGCACATTTTAGGGATTTTGTATCAATTCCGACGAAATTAGAATTAAAAACACCAGGGGACAAGGAGATAATATCCATCTTTGGAAAATCTTTCCCCACCCCTTGATAAATGCCGTTTTCATCCTCTGAAAGTGCCTAAAATCCTCAAATTTCGCGCGCTTCGCGCGCATTTCTTGTTACGTTAGGCTAATTTCCTCTATAAATTGCACATTAATTTAGGGAGTTTTCATCAATTCCGACGAAATTAGAATTAAAAACACAAAAACTTTTTGCGCGCTTGGCGCGCATTTATATTACTAGGGTTTTTTAGTGTTATACTTTTAAGTTATTTAAACACATAATAGTCCCAAAATCAAGAAAGAAAAATTTAAGATAGATCGTTTTAACCTAAAAGAAGGGCCTCAACGTGTAGTGATGGTGAAAGAATATGTTTGTAATAAATAAAACCATGATGAAAATGCTTATATTTAGTTTCAAACACACGTGTGTGGCCTATATTATAAACTAGAAATTGCAAGTGAAGTGCTGCGAAGTACAACTGCATATAAAGTTTAAAAAATTTCTATGTATGTGGAAAATGTAGTTGATTACCAAAGGTTACAATTTTTATTTTGAAGACTGCATGGTCTAGGAAGTGTACATTTTTTTATGGGGCGGGTTTTCTAGGGGCGAGTTGACTGCCAAAGAGTGTTGCCAAAGTGCGAGCCAGCGTGTTATTTGATCACAAGTGCGAGACATCGCAGTTGTGCGAGGTATTGGCTGAGATTTGTGGAGTACAATTCAAAAAACAACTATAGGCCTAGGTCTAATAATGAATTATTGTGATGTTAAGTAGACAATGTTAGCTATCAAGGAGCGACGTTGTTTTTCATTCGTCCCTTCAAGGCTAGGCCTATACCATCCTAGCTAGTCTACTAGGCCTAGAGTAGGATAAGGCTAACGCGACATGCGGACGTTGGTACGTGTTGGTTAGTCTACAAACGTCGCCTAAAGTAATTAATTTTAACCGAAGAAATGCTATATATATATGTTGAACTCGACCCTTCTATTCCACAATCATCGTCAGTTATAGTACGTTTGGCAGAACTCGTTCTTACCACAGCTGCATTTACTTTCAACAACAAATTCTACCGCCAGTTATCTGGAGTTGCTATGGGTACCAAAATGGGTCCTAGCTTTGCTTGCCTATTTATGGCATCAAGGACTAGTGCTGTCCAACTACGCATGCGGTGAGGAATTAGTTGCTTTAATCAAATTTGTTATGCCCAGTGTGTAGTGTGATTTGAAGTGTAATAAAACGACGGTACTGGGTAGACAACTTGATTTTTCGAACAATTATCCAATCGTAGAAGGCTTGTGAAGATAAGCCTATCTGAGAGTGACTCTAGAGAGGTAGAGACCAGGGAATATCTAGACGTTAAATTGAACAAAGATTAAAATACGTAATAAATACTATAGACACAACGTATACACAGAGACTAGCTTAAAAACGTAAACATGTGTAATTTAAATATAAATGTTTATAAATGTATGTGTAAGTATGCCTATTCTGTTAATTGTGATAAAAACAACGAAAACTGTCAAAGAATAAAGGAAGAATAGGAAAGTGACTTTACACTGTGTACCAAAAGCTATATAATAATTTTATTATCATTTTAATTGCTTTAATCCAAATTTTTTAAAGCATTGTTTAAGCCTTGTGTGTAACTTTATCCTAGTGTGTTTATATTTTCAAATATTCGAAAATCGTTCTGTAAATATGTCACGCATTTCAGCTATGTACCGTTGCTGCCATGTTGATATATGAATAAAATAAAATGAAAAAATGTAACGGAAAAAAGGGTAATCGCTCATTATTATATTTTACGTGTTTGTAGTAAATTTTAGGCATTATCGTCAGAGGTCTGATGTAGATACCCAAGGCTATCACGTTTCATAATTCGACATCAAAATCAAGACCTACAGTATTTAGTTTGCAGGATTCTAGCAAATTTCAAATGGTTAAAGTCGTATCCTTTAATTTCAGTTAATGATTCCACACAATTGCATTAATAATTAAGAGTGCTGCCGAATCGAAGGTATATTGGACTGATAAGAGGAAGTTAAGTACACCCTCTACTTACAGTAACGGATCCCATACTTTTGGTTCAGCTCTTTTTGCACCTCTGGTCTACCACTATTTCTCATCGTCGTCACCACCACCAATACCCGCCACCACCACCATCATTATCATCATCATCGTCATCATTATCCTAGACGTCGTTGTCGCCGTTGTCGTCATCATCATCATCATCATTATGACCGCCTTCTTGTAAATGACCACCGCTCCTCTTTCATCAGTGGCGGCGCTTACCGTCCTCAAACCCTCTTGCGTTGGCAAGCATAGGATCCTGAAATATATTTTTAAAAATTTGTTTATTAGTATTTATTTATATTGTTTATATATCAGAGACGCGGACAGTGACTCTTTAATTTAAAATAACAAATAATTAATATAATATTGAATGTTTTATCTTTTTGATTAACTATATTTTATGATGACCAACTCTATTATTTTAACATGGAATTTAAGCGTTTTGCATAGCGCCCCTTACGGGAGAAATTGTTTCTTATGACGTAACTGTTTCGCAGCGATACACCCATAGTAATTGAATCTAGATTCATTATTAAAGGTCTATGTTTATTACCATATCAGTTATCTTGAATCCAGTACCGTAAACGAGTATATTAAATACAATGTCGCAAACAGAGACAATACATTTATATTTAGGAACTTCATTGTTCACTAAACCTCTCCTGTTGTGCTACCGTATTATTATTGTATTATTGCCTATCATCATAGTCATAATCATCACCATCATCGTCGTCTTCATCGTCACCTTCATCGTCATCATCATCATCATCTTCATCATTATCATCATCACCATCATATCTTTTTAAATTTTGGATTTCATTTTTATTATTCAATGTAATTATTCACAATTCACAATTCTTTATTCCATAAAAAATATAATATAACAATTATATAAATACAAGTGGGGACCTAAAACAAAGCAGAAGCTTGTGGTCATTAGGCCTCAATACAATTTATTTTAATTGCATAAACATTAAAATACAAAATATTACACATAAAAAATAGAGATAAATTATATTTTATTTTTATTATTCAATGTAAATATTCACAATTCACAATTCTTTATTCCATAAAATATAATAACAATAATATAAATACAAGTGGGGACCTAAAATAAAGAAGTAGCTTGTGATCATTAGGCCCCAATACATTTTTTTTTTAAATTACATAAACATTAAAATACAAAAAATGATATGTTTGATTTATTTATTGATTTATTTAATTTTAGACTTTTTATACTTAAATATAAAATCAATAATCATTTTTAAGAGTGATATCATCGTCCTCATTATCATCATCCTCATCAGCATTGTTTGCCTTCATCATCACTATCGTCATTAATAATGTTATAATAATAATAATAATAATAATAATAATAATAATAATAATTATAATAATGATGATGATGATAAACTCATTTGCTCGTAACTCAATTTCTCTTCAAATTCGTATAAACCGTCTAAACTATAAAATATAAACATGTTCTATAAAAAACATAAGACACCTAAAACAGTAAAAAAAAAAACAATTAAAAATGACATTAGATTATTTACATAATGATGATGATAGTACAGGTGTAATTTTGCCCTACCTGACGTGGAAATGAACTTAATACTCGGTACGTTTAAAAACATTTACGAAAAATAATCACAAGTTGTTCTCGGGTAGGACTCGAACTCAGACCTCCAGTCCTACCCTAGAACAACTTGCGATTTTTTGCAATTATTTTCAAAACGTACTGAGTATTCATTTCCACGTCAGGTAGGGCAAAATTACACCTATACTTGATTTTCCTGACGCAAATCCAGTTATTGTTTATTCCATCACGACAATAACAACTACTATCGATGATGATGATGATGATAATTAACAAACAATAATAATAACAACAACAACAACAACAATATAATAATAATAATAACAATAAGTAATAATAATAACAAAAACAATAACAATAATATGCAAATATAATTTATAAGATCAAAGGCGGAGAAATTATATCATAGCAGAGTATAAAAATACTGTAATGTTATTGCTATTGGTATTATTGTCAATGCTATTTTTGATAATGTTATTTATATATTGTATTGTTAATAATGATATTGCCATTGTTAGAATACTATATATATATATATTTTTTATTAATAAACCCTTTTACGAGGTCAGAGTTTTATCATTTTAATATCAGAAGTTCAGTATATGTTAATTCATCATTAATTTATGCTGTAGTTACGTATACTAGTGGAATACATTTTTATTGTATACTATATGAAAAACATGAGTCATACAGTATATCTTTTTGAAACAGGTCTAAATTCATATGGCGTTGTAATTAAAACGTTTTCTTTTATTATCTCTTTCAAATTGGTAATCCCTGTATTAGTCATCATAAATATAATTGGGGTGTGCCCAACAATGATAATACTGTAATAATAATATACAGTAACTACGGAATAGGCGGCGGTGATTTTCTACTACAAGAAGACTCATCAATAAACAAAAGAATGGCATTGTACACAAATTGCACACGGCACGTAGGCTTTTCAACAGGTCTGATACAGCGAGTCCAATCAGATCGGAGATTTATTAAGATTTATCCAATGAGAAACCTCGATTTACTTTCACTACAACGCTCGTAGCTCAGATCGGATCTTCTAGAGTGCCATTTTATAGCATTAATGTTAACTTGTTACCAAGCGGTGGAAAACGGTTTTCTTCATCCGGCCGATCAAGCAAACGGTGGTAAATACAGAAATTGGATTATACCAGGCTTATTATTGTATATCTTTAAGGTAAGAAACAATATCTAGAATAAGTGTAACATGTTGTAAGTAATGCGCAATTAATTATATGTAGATATCAGAAAACCATTTCTAAAGCTTACGAATAGCAGTCAAGCAGGCCTGGCTGGGGGCTTAGGCCTAGGCTAGCCTAGTTTTACCGGTAAATTTATCTGCGTGGGTAGCCTAGACTGCGCTTAGACAGGCTACCCCAGTACGTAGGCGTATGTTAGGACCTTTGACTAGGCTTAGAGTCTAGGCTACACTGAGAGGCCCGGCGGACTGAGATGGTGAATTTCTCCGACGCCTATCTAGGTAGGCCTAAGAATAGGCCTTTAACTGTTTGTAGGCCTAACATTTTTACTTAGGCCTAGCCTTAGGTAGGGCCTAGGCCCACTTGGCCTAGCTAGGGCCGGCCTGGCTGGCGAGCCAGGCATGAGGCCCCTCCCTTCTCCTAGCTAGCCTAGGCCTAGGGGCCTTCCCCTTGCCTAGGCCAAGAGACTATATGCTAGGAGGGCAGCAAAAAAAAAAAATAAATAAATGAAATTATGTTTTCTTATTTAGCAAATATTTTTTGCCAAAACCATCCAGATAGAGGAGAAAATAAAAATATTTTTTTTTTATCGGTGAATGTAAACAGTGTAGTATTTTGGAATACATATTTTATTTTTGAAGATTCCAAGGCAGGTGTAATATAAATAATGATAAAGAAAACCTTTTACTTTTTTCTGAAATTTCCATTTTTTTGTGGAATGTGTGCTATAATTGAACAAAATAAAATTTTATTTTTCATTATTGGCGTGTTGTTGCCATATTGGTGAAACAGGCAACACAATGTATTTATACTCCTGGATGAACAAAGCAAAGCCAATAAAGCAAGGACACAAGTGTAGTGTACAGCGTGGGACTGAAACCCCGACCTTGAGTTTGGGAAACCAAACCATTCCTACAGTACTGCGCCGAACCACTTCCATGATAGTAAATAATTTACTACTAGTTAAACTGCCATGTATTGTATTTTTTTTTATAATGGAGACTTAAACTTAGATCCTTTGTATCATCTATAGGTGAGATTTTTTTTTATATCTTGTTTAGTGAAATTGCAGACTGCAAATATTGATGATTTTTAATAAATAAAATTCTATTTTTGGCCAATTAGCGCACCTGCTGCCACGAAAAAGTGGGAATTTCAGAAAAAAAACCCAAAGTTTTTCTTTATTTATATTACTGTACGCCCTCCGATGACACCTTCAAATCTCCAAAGATAAGATATGTATATTTCTTCATAAAATTTGAAGCATTTAACCATCCTATGTTACATTTACCAATAAAATTTTAATTTTTATTTTCTCCACCATCTGGATTTTTTTGGCAAACTATTTGCTAATTAAATAAGAAAACAAATTTTGTTTTTATTCTGCCCTTCACCGATGATCTTTAAAAATGAAGTACGCGAAACAATGAATAAAAAAGTCTCTCCTTTCTAATTACTGTATGTGTCATGATTTTAATAATTGGGTGGATGTGATCTTTTTTGAGCAGATTTCAGTCTTAATTTCCCAGGGGCCATTCTCTGTTATGATGTAATTAGCTGCTATTATTATCATTAATTATATCATGCAGCATTAATTGATGCCCCTCGGCTAAGGTGTCCATTACTCTAGTTCACGATTTCATATTTTATGGAACATTTTGTAATTGAACTCTGTATTTTAGGATGAATAAATATTTTTTACATTCATAGTCTCTTGTGGTCAGCATACAAGTATTAACGAAAATAAAAGTGCGTAATAATTGTTTATTTAAATACTTTTCTCTGGTATAGTAATAAGCCAAACCCCTTGAAGACAAAATTGGGCCAATTTTTTGGGGTAGTGGGGTGGCAATTTTTCGGCACTTATGACTAATTCAAAGCCAATATTTGATGCTTTTCCTGGGCTTTTGCCCGAGGAAAAGGCTGGTACATAACATAGGGCATAATGTAGGGGTGGGCTTATTGAGGTATTCTTGCGGGGAACTATTGTATGGTACTGTATTAACTCAGGGTCTTAACTTATTTTTTGTATAGTAGTCCAGATTCATAAAACTTAAAATAGTTATTATAGTAGCCCCCAAGTACCACTCACATTTAGCAGCAGCAGCTGATGACAGTAGAAAGGTCGCATGTTTTAACCTTGAATCATACATCGGTCATGATAATTAATATTGACTTGATTATACACCATATTAATCGAAGGTGCCTTTCGCATTCAGCAATGCATGATCTATCAAGCGCGATCTGCCCTCACGGGTGATAGTGCAAACAGCTTCTCCACCTCGATTGTACGCAAGCGGTGTTGAGTTCTTGCGCTTGTTAGCCTCCACACAATGGCTTGGGGCTTGATACAGCCACGAACAATTACTATGGCAGTCATGATAACAAGCTGTAAATAAACATTCCAACTCACCATGTATCATAAATATTTGCTAAGAAACACAGTTTGATAATGAATTTTAAAAAAAATGTGAAGATTTTTCTTTGTTACTTATATACTATACACAGTGTGTAATGAACCCAGACCACAAAAAAATATTTCTTTTGTATTAGAAACCCATTATTCTATCAACCCACTTGAAAAGAAGGCCTGAATTATTGTAAGTTGATGATTTTTTTAATTTAATGGTGATTACTGATACAGATGCCTGAGATTTATTTGGAAATTTAAACATTTTGCAAAAAATTCTTTTTTTAGTATGTTAACATCAATATTGCAGTACCACAGATTATAGATTAATTCAACCCTAGCAACCCTTGGCCAATACTTTTTTAAACCTTGTTTAGCAAACTTATTTTGTTTTTTAAGATCGTCAGAGGAGGGTGAAAAGAAAATATAAATAAAATTGTTTTCTTATTTAGCAAAACAATTTTGCTGAAAGTATCTAAGCAGAGGAGAAAATGAAAATAAAATTGTATTGATGAATGTAAACAATGTACTGTAGTAACAAGATTAATAAATGCTTTGAATTTAGTTGAGGAAGAATGTATTTTTTTGAAAATTTCATTGAAGGAGGGTTAAATAAAAATAAAGATTTTTTATTTTTTTTTTTTGGAATTTCCATTTTTTGTGGCAGAGGGTTTGCAAACAAGGTATAAAAATAAAGAAGTCTAGTGATTTACTTATTTATAGCCTATATGGTTGTGGTTAGTCTTCATCCAATTTTACTTTTTTTTCCAAGATTTTTTTTTCTGAGTTGTCTGTGCGCTAAACATGCCATAATACTGAAAAATCCCCTCCTCTTGATGTTATAATTCACATTAAAATGATTGCTTTTCCTTTAAATTCCCAACTTGAACAAAGACAGTTTAAACCCAATGAAAAAAAAAAGGATTAATTTATCATCCTTGCCCGCATGTCTTTTGTGGTATTGATAAAAGAAGTGACTATAATATTCAAGTTGAAATTTAAAATATCTTTATGTACAGTATTGAAAGCTGTATTTTTTATCATAAATAATTCACATTAAAAGAAGAGTAATTTGTTAGGCCTACTTTTCTATTCAATTCAAACTTACTACTATAAATATACTGTACAAGGTAAACATTGCATAGAAAATTCCAAACTTGAATTATACCAAAATGGAGCCCAGATGCTGGGGAGTGGGGGAGGGGATCGTCCGTCTGAGTCATCAAGTGTTTGATTGTTCCAGACATGTATGAAATAAAATATAGTATCGTGTTCAAGGCTTCCTACTGTAGGATTGACATTTAGTATTAAGGTCAAGACAAACAATAGAAATGATTATGATTCATACGTCTTCCAGATTTAGTAATAATTTATGGATCATTTTATCTGGCTTTATGCCAGTCCCATACTATGAGTAGTCAAGTATATGAAATAAAATTCAATAATTTAGGAATGTATTGGAGCAATCATGTTTTGATAGATCAACAAATGATAATGTGTACAGTATAAATCACGGTCTGTAAACTATAGGCCTACCCTCAACCGACTACACTCCTTTGCGATTGGTTGTATTTAGTCTGTGGTTAATCCAAAGCTGATTATTCACGTTCGCAACCAACGAGCGCATTCATTCCAGTTCAGACACAAAAACCTTTATATTGGAACGGTTCTAGGCCTCCAGTGGCTAGACCTATCTTGAATAACCTCAGCCAATCAGTGCCAGTGGAATTTGTTGCGATCAGATTGCATGATAAAGTAGTTATTGTAGTCCACCCAATCGCAATGGAGTAACAATGGACTTCCCGCTAAGCGCCGCTTGATATTGATGCTAAGGTCCTACAAAACCACATTGTTGAAACATACGCAAACACGTGCGTTTGTGGGACAACACGTATACTTGTTAGACACATGCGTCGCCGTATGCATAGCCCTGTTCTGATTGGTCAGTTGTTAAGTTTGATTGTCACTACGGAAAGTTCCAAGCGATATCGATTACTTATCGACTGCTATTGGTGAGCTTTCACTTCGATTGTGAATTGCGATTGGGTGTCGTAATTGTTACAACCGATCCCAATGTGTTGCTAAAATAGTCTAAATAGGGTATTTAAGGGCTGCAGCCAGGTGAAAAACAGTAATCAAAGATTTGTTTTTGTAAAACTGTTTCGTTGATATAGCGAATACACAGTTTATATTAAATATTGTCACTAAGAGAACAGATAATGATGTCAGATTATTGTATATCATCATAAGAACATGGAGGTACAGTTTATTTAACCCATAACTTGCAGCGTCATTCTGCTGAATTTCGTATGGGCGTGGTCTGTGACAACATGTAGAGTAGCTACATGTTCACATCATTCCACAATGACAGGGACTGAAATGAACCATAGCATCTGGGGTAACCCCCTACTATTCCGATAGAAACAATTGGTTCTTTAAAGTGCACACGAGGCAGATGTATACACTGGATCTCCATTTCAAGTCCTATCAGAGAAGACTTGGTTCTACCAACTGAACCATGGGTGAGGAGCTGCTGGAACCAGCGCTGATGTTAAGGCTGTAGCCAAC